GCATGGCTGGATGAACACAGCAGGCCAAGCAGCATCATAGGAGCAGAAAGGCTATGGAGCTGCTTGGCCTGCTGTGTTCATCCAGCCCTGCACCTTGTTGTCCCAGACTGCAGACTGGTTTTATAGATCATTTTGCTTTTTCATGTTTAATGTGGTGGTCTTCCATTGAAACACAAACACACAATGTTGCAGATTTAGTTTTAACAAAAAAAAAGTTTATTACGTAAAGCGAATTAAGAAAAATAATAAATCAAACTATTTACATATTACATGAGTTTAAAGATTTTGAACACATAATAAATTACAATACCGACAGCACCCCTTTACTGTACTGAAACACCAAAAAGAATTCCCTATTCTATCACATCGATAGGGCTTAATTTAATTAATGATTCAATTCCCAGTCATGAAAATTTGATAGCGTCTTCTGTAGTCTTTATACAACTGAGCTTAGATTTTCTCGGCTTCAAATAACCCCTTCAGGGGTTTAACCACACATTTCTGATGTAGAATTTTCAAACCTAATTTCTTGCATTTAGGTAGCTTAACAGTTTCGTAACAGTTCTAAACCACCTCCCTTCTTCAGGAGAAATTATTTTGCACTTCATTCAACCAGGACTTATGCAAAACTGAAACCAAGTTCTTTGTGTTTCTCTGAAGCCAAAAGAACACAATTCCAGATATTTTTAACAGAAAACAAAATGAACTACACTGTTTACTTTGTTCTCTCATAGAGCTCTCCCAATGTAAATAAATCCCCATCAGCTTCCAGGAACTATCTCTCTCATACTCTTTTTCCCAAAAATAGCACAATTATTAGAGATAACACAGCGTGGACCTGAAGGATCTCGACCCGAAATGTCAACTTTCCTGTTCCGTTGATGCTGCCTGGCCTGCTGTGTTCCTCCAGCTCCATACTGTGTTATCTCTGATTCCAGCATTGGCAGATCTTACTGTCTCTGAGACAATTATTAGAGAAATGCTTACAAGTTAATAATTAAATCCCCTTCCTAGACACAAACAAAAACTCATGTGTCACTAGTTTAAAATTCAAACTTTAAAATAAATTATATTAAAATATCACACACTCTACAGCACAGTTAATAGAATAGAATTCTAGCTGAAGTGTTGAAAGAAGAGATTTTAAAAACTTCCATGGGTTTTGAGAAGGAACTAGAAAGCTTGCTGTCAACAAATCGGATTCAGGGTTATTCTAAATCCACAAAGCAAATATTTAGGGTAAGTGGCCTGGATGAATCAAAAATCTTCTCCTGCAAAGCATATCTTACCATCCAGTCATTTAGTAGTACGGAACTTGACTATTATTGAAAAAAGATACATTTTATTGAAGCTTATCAGGACAATTTGCCAGAAATACTAATGTAAAGGTAAAGTAACATTTTTATACTCTATGAGAAGACAGTGCTGTTTGATTTAGAAGTGGACTCTGATTGGTGGAGGCATTGCCATGGAGAATGAACCAGATAAATAATGGCTATCAGTTAACTGCCAAGCTTTGTTTAATTTTAAACCAGACAGGTTGACTCTGATTGGCAATGGCTCTGAGAAATGAAGATAGGTAGAATTACTTTAGGGAAATGCAATAGTCAACTTTATCGTAGAATGAATCTTCTAGAGCTGTGAATGGTGTGTAGTTCCTAATTTTGCTTATGAAAATTTGCAAATTGTTGCTAAGTGTATAAAGAAGTTAATTTAGTGCCATGTTCTCTCCTTATCCATATCCATTAGTATTTATGATAATGACGATATTTGGATTGTCAGAACCAAATATACTCACCATCTGCAATGCCAGGCAATAGAATGGCTTAACAGTTATAAATGTATGTAATAAAAAGTATATTTTTGGAAATACTGATTGATGCAACAATTCACATCTGAGACCAAATTAAATAATACAGTATACGATGGTTCCAAGACTGTTGCATCAGATTAAAACTAAAGAGGCTAAAATTTGGAGCCATAGGAAGAATTCTTTAATCTGGTAACATTTTTCAACCTGATCATGACTGTTTGCAAAAAGATTCTCAAAATTACTTGCCTGAGCTGATGATTTGCACATCCTGATAAAAGCCAGCTATCCCAAGTATGCATCTCTGCAAACCCCACGTCCCATGAAAGAACCCATCCAAATATGGTTTTAATTCCATCCAACTCATATGATTAGACTCGTAGGAATGAAAGTGGACTAGGAGTCAGAGTTTAAATTTCACCATGGCAAATTATGAAGGTTAATTTATAAGTATTTGGTAACTTAAAGGTTGGCACCTGAATATAACAATGAAAACCCAACTTTACGGAAAGGAAACTGTCAACTCTACCCATCTGGCCTACAAGTGATTCTATTTCTACACTTATACAAAGCAAAATGCTGGGGATGCTGCAAATGTTAAATAAAACCAAGGTTAACATTTCAGGTCAATGATTGCGCTTTTTCTATCCACCTGCTGAGTTTTTCCAATATTTTCTGTTCTTACTTTTTTCAAACATGCGTGGTTGACATCAAATACCGTGAAGGCAACGAGAATAAATATTAACTTGCCAATGATGCCACCAATGAAAAACAAAGCATGGATTGGTAACTTCCCAAGAGTACAATTTGGAAATTAGAAATAGCTAAAATTCTTTGGTAGATATTTTACAGAACTCATTAAAAACCTTTTTTTTTAAATTATGAAATGATAAATTTATGAGAGTGTAAATTGAATTGTGTTTCATTGTAAAATTTAGAAATCACATTACCTGCAGTTCCTGAGGGAGGTTATCCAGAGGGTCCAGAAATGGATCATTATCGCAAGATTATCTCTGAATACGTACATGGATTCAGCTCAATTGAAGTAGTGCTTCGAACAACTGTATATAAAATGTTGGAGATTGCGGAGAAAACTCCAGATGCTCTTTTGAAAGAAGCTGTTGAAATTATGGAAAGTAAGTGAAGTTTTTCTATTGCCACAGAAGATATTTTCACTGTGTTTTAAAAATTACATCATTTTTTAGTATTCCAATAATGCAATAACACTATAAATAGAAAATATTTATTATTGCATAGAGGGCATTTATTATTACATCAACTGATATTCTTGCACTTCAATAACCCTGTACAATAAATTAGTAATGACTAATATCTTCTTCAGTGTTCAAGCTACCCCAAGATGTCTGTATTGAGGTTAGTATATTATCTCACTCCGGAACACAGAGAAAGCAGGCATAAAACACAAATGTGGAGAGGACTGGACCTCAAAGTTTGGAGCATGGCAAGAAGGTGTGTGGTGTTGGCAGGGAACTTGAGGGGTAGGAATGTGGAAGGGATTGCACAGGTTTAAATGCACAAGTTTAAATTCCACTCCATTGGCTGGTGGAATTTAAATTTAATTAATACATTCAGTTAATTAATACATTTAGATTTGAAGGCTAGTGTTAGCAACAGTAACCATTAATTGTTGTAGAAATTGTCACCATTGACATCTGATTCACCAATGTCTTTCAGGAAACCTATCTTCCTTACCTGATCTGGTCTACATGTGACTGCAGTCCAGCAGCAATGTCGTTGACTCTTGACTGCCCTATGAAACAACCTAGAGAGTATTCAGTTGTACTTGCCCTGGACTGCAGTGGCTCAAGAAGGTGGCTCACCTTCACCTTCTCAAGGGCAATTTGGGATGGCTTAACAAATTAGCAATGCCCATATGATTTTTGTTTAAAAAACAAGCTATTTCAATGGCTGGTCAACAAGTTGTGGATGAAATGGTTTTCATTCATATTACCTTAGACTGAGTTCATGGAAGTACTGTGCAGGATGTTTACAGTTTTTTTTTTAGCAGTTGTTAGTTAAACTCGTGGAGGACAGAGAAATACCTATCCCAGATACTGGGGGCAATTGTTCCGCTGTTTTATGGTCTCCAACATGATCAAGGCCAAGATCAGAGAATAGCAGAATGTGAAAGCACTGAATGGGGGACGGCAGCACTGCACACAACACTCTATTTGTAAAAGCATTTTCAGTTAATAATTATTCTGTCATAACTTTATCTCAGAGAAATGTGTAGGTGGTTCAGGTTCAATACATTTATCCTGTACCATTCAGCCCTGTTCACTGTCTTCAGCCTTCCTAGAGGAATAAGAAGTTGGCTCCTTAGGAAAAGGGGCTACCCCTCTCTACGTGACAGATGGCCTTTTGTCACCTCCCACCACATGAGCAGAGAGATTCCTTCAATAAGGACCATTTACATGGGAGTTGCAGAAGCAGTGAACCCATGAGGGACAAGGAATCAGGGCACGGAGAAGGAAGTAAATTGCGGCTGTGGCTTGAGGCCTACATCACTTACCTGGGAATCACAAGGCAGACCATTCATCTACTGGCAACTGGTCTAAAAAAAGTGGTGGACAGGAGAAAAAATGGTGGATGGGAGATCATGGCTACGAGAGCTGCTCTTGGTTTTGAAGTTTCTTTCAATGCTCAGCTGGACTTACTCACTTCAGTGGGGCAGTAATTGCTTTTTTTTTTACAAGTTGTTCTATCGTTTTTGAAACTTTATGAAAAAAGATCAAAAACAAAGATACCTTAAAATACAGGAAGGAGAAAGAGTTTCAGGAGAATGATCATGTGGCAAGGTCAGAGCCTGAGGAATTGTATAAAGTTTGGAGATTGCCTTTTTATGAAGCAGCTAAAAAGTGTAGTTTCACAGCTGCCAGACTGAGAGATTGTGTAAGGGCTCAGTAGAACAGGTTTCACTAAAACAACAAACAAGAAGTGAAGTTTCGTTGCTGATGTGATAGGTCTCAGAGATGCAGAGATTTCATTGATTTAGAAAAAACTTCACTGCCTGAAACGACAGAAGAGGACAAACTTTGGTTTTTGAGCCTGATTAGCTAAGTGTTTGATTTTTAAGACTTCTAAAATTTCAGAACCTTAATTTTTTTTTGTAAATCTGTAAGAGTGAATATGGTGAAGGCATTTCTTTTTCTTATGTTTATACTGTGATCTTTCCATTGATTGACTTTTAATATTAAAGATTGGTATTAAGTTATCTCAGAGCAGTGTTTTTGAGCAGTATGACTATGCCAACTCAGCGTTTTTGAGCAAAGTGTGTTGTTTGTTTCTAAGTATTTTCTGGGTCTGCAGATTGTAAAAGGGGCAGAAATAGCTTTTACAAGGGTGATGTGCACTTCTTGTCAGATGTGGGAGATCGGGGAGATTTTGAATGTTCCTGGAGGCTATGTCTGCAGGAAGTGTGTTTGCTTGCGAATCCTATCAGACCACATGGATCAGTTGGAGTGGCAGTTAGAGACAATGAGGTGTTTACAAGAGCAAGGGAGTGTGATGGATGGCAGTTTCAGGAAGGTGGAGATACCACATATACAGTCAGGTAGATGGTTGACCACTAGGGATGGTAGAAGAGGTAGCCAGATAGTGAAGGAATCTTCTGTAGCTATCCCCATCTCAAACAAGTAGGCCGTGGTGGATACTGTAGGGTTGGGGTGGCCTCTCAGAGGAGGATAGGACTGAAAGCCAGGTTTCTGGTACCATGACTGGCTCTACTGTAGTGATGGCTATGTCAGATTCCAAGCAATTGGGGATTATCTAATCTGGGGCACAGGCAGACAGACATTTCCACGTCCGTCAGCAGGGATGGTGTGTTGCCTGCCTGGTGCCAGGGTCAAGGATGTGTCAGAGTGGTACAGAATATTCTGAAAGGGGAGAGTGACCAGCAGGAAGTCATTGTGCACATTGATACCAACAACATTAGTGGGGAAAAGGAACAAAAACAGAAATGCTGGAAAAGCTCAGCAGGTCTGGCAGCATCTGTGGAGAGAAATCAGAGTTAATGTTTCGGGTTCAGTGACCCTTAGTGACAGCAAGGAAAATGTTGGTTTTATGCAGAGGATAGAGTGACAGGAAGGGGTAACGAGTAAATAGTAGGTAGGGATAGAGCACAAAGAGAGAAAAAGACAATTGGACAAAGGAATGGATAACGATCTGGCTGGGAGGGTGAATAGCTGTGAATGGGGACTGTTAGTAGCTAACAATGGGTTGTGTATAATAGCAGACCATGTGATAACAAGGCCTGGTGTATGGGATTTGGGGTAAAGGCATAGGAGAACTCAAGCCCAAAAGTCATTAAACTCAATATTGACTCCAAGTACCTGTAGAGTTCCCAAGTGGAAAATGAGGTGCTGTTCTTATAGCTTGCGCTGAGCTATGCTGGAGCACTGCAGCAAGCCTGAGACAGAGATGTTGGCCAGGGAAGAGGGTGATGTGTTGAAGTGGCAGACAACTGGAAGCTCAGGGTCTTTTTTGCAGACAGATCATAAGTGTTGTGTGAAGCGGTCACCCAGTTTAAGCTTCATTTCACCATTATAGAGGGGACCACATTGTGACCAGCGAATACAATAGACTAGATTGTGCGAAGTGCAGATAAAGCATCGTTTCACCTGGAAGATGTGCTTGGGCCCTTGGATACCAGGAAAGGAGAAGGTAAACGGCAGGCGTTTCACCTTCTGCCATTGCAGGGGAAGGTGTCATGGGGCTGTGGGGGGGGTTGTTAGGAATGAAAGAGGAGTGGACCAGGGCGTCCAGGAGGGAAAAGTCCCTGCAGAAGGCTGACGGGAGAAGGGAGCGGAATATGTGCCTGGTGGTGGCATCCCTCTGGAGGTGCAGAAATTGCGGCTAATGATCCTCTGGATGTGGATGCTGGTGGGATGGCAGGTAAGGATAAAGGGGATCTTGTCGCTGTTGAGGGAGAAAAAGAGGGAGAGGGCAGAAGTGCGGGAGTTGGGTTGGACCCAGCTCAGGACTGTGTCAAATATGGTGCTGGGGAATCCTCAGTTGAGGAAGGAGGTGGACATTTCAGAGGCACCTTTTACAAAGTTGGCATATTGGAATAGATATGACAGACGGAGAAATTGAGAGAAAGGCATAGAGTCTTTATCATTCTCCCAGTTAGGTAGGATTTGATTTGGTTTGCTATGAATTATTATTGTCACATTTACCTAGGTACAGTGAAAAGATTTTTTTTCCTTGCAGTACAGATCATACCATACAGAGTGCATAGGGCATTAGAACAGAGCGAGGAATACAATGTTATGGCAGCAGAGAAGCTGCACAGAGAGCGAGATCAACATTAAATTTAAAATTTGAGAGGTCCATTCAGAAGTCTAATAACAGTGGGGAAGAAGCAGTTCTTAAACCTGTTGGTACGTGTGTTTAAGCTTTTGTATCTTCTGCCTAACAGAAGAAATTAGAAGAGATTACAACGGGGTAGGACGGATCTTTGATTATGAGTAGAGATTAGGTTCTGCATAGAGAATATAGGAAATTAGGCAGGAAGATAAAAAGTAGGTCCTCGAGCATAATAATATCTGGACTACTACTGGTACCGTGGGCTAGTGAAAGTAGGATTAGGAGGATAGAGCAGATGAATTCCATCCACACAACTCGCTGTGGCAGAAAGGCTGCCAATATCATATAAGACCCATCGCGCCCCGGTAATGATCTCCTACAATTTGTTCTGCCAGGCATAAGATATAGAAGCCTGAACACACGCACGAGCAGGTTCAAAAACAGCTTCTTCCTGGCTGTTATCAGACTGATGAATTGACTCTCTAGGAGGGACAGGTTCAACCTGAATTGGAAGGGGACCTATATCTTTGCGGGAAAATTTGCTAGTGCTACTCAGAAGGCTTTAAACTAGTAAACTGGCGGATGGGAACCAAAGCGATAGTGAGAAAAAAGGCTGGGGCTGGTACAGTGAGAACAAGTCCAATGTCAAGGCAGACAGGAGCTTGGCAGAGACGAGATAAGACTGATAAATTAAACTGTATTTACTTCAACACAAGAGGCCTGACAGGTAAGGCAGATGAACATAGGGCATGGTCGGGAATATGGGACTAGGATATCATAGCTATTACAGAAACATGGCTCAGGGATGGACAGGACTGGCAGCTTAATGTTCAAGTGTATAGATACAAAAGGAAAGATAGAAAAGGAGGCAAGAGAGGAGGGGGAATGGTGTTTTTGATTAGGGAGAACATTACAGCTGTACCTAAGGAGGATATTCCTGAGAGATCATCCATTGAAGTTATATGAGTGGAACTTAAACATAAGAAAGGGATGATCACCTTATTGGGATTATACTATAGGTCTTCCCAATAGTCAGCGGGAAATTGAGAAGCAAAGATGTAAGGACATTTCAGATATCGGAAAGAAAAATAGCATTGTAATGGTAGGGGATTTTAACTTGCCAAACTCAGACCGGGACTGTCATAGTGTTAAGGACTTGGATGGGGAAGAATTTGTTAAGTGTATACAAGAAAAATTTCTTATTTAATATGTCGATATACCTACTAGAGACTTACTTGACCTTCTCTTGGGAAATAAGACAGGGCAAGTGACTGGTGTTAGTGGGAGAGCACTTTGGGACCAGTGATCATAATTCTCTTAGTTTAAAATAGTTATGGAAAAGGGTAGGCCTTGTATAAAAGAGTTAAAGTTCTAAATTGGAGTAAGGCCAATTTGAGGGTATGAGACAGGAACTTTCAAAAGTTGATGAGGGTGGCTATTTGCAGGTAAAGGGATGGTTGGGAAGTGGGAGACCTTTAAGAATGAGATAACGAGAGTTCAGAGACAGTATGTCCCTGTCAGGGTGAAGGGCAAGGCTGGTAGGTATAGGTAACGCTCGATGACTAGAGAAATTGAGGCTCTGGTCAAGAAAAAGGAGGAGGCATATTTTAGGTATCGACAGCTGAAATCAAGTGAATTCCTAGAAGAGTGTAAGGGAAGTAGGAGTATACTTAAAAGGGAAATCAGGAGGGTAAAAAAGGGTACATGAGATAGCTTTGGCAAATGCAGTTAAGGAAAATCCAAAGAGATTCTAAAATACATTAAAGGCAAAAGAGTAACTAGGGAGAAAATAGGGTCTCTTAAAGATCAGCATGGCTGTTTCTGAGTGGAATCATAGGAGATGGGTGAGATACTAAACAAATATTTTGCGTCAGTATTTACTATGGAGAAGGACTTGGAAGCCAGGAAACTTGGAGAAATAAATAGTTATGTCTTGAAAATAATTCATATTACCAAAGAGGAAGTGCTGAAGGTCTTAAAATGCATAAAGGTAGATAAATCCTTGGGACCTGATCAGGTATTTCCCAGAATTTAGTGGAAAGCTAGGGAAGAGATTGCTGGGCCCCTTGCTGACATATCTGAGATGAGGGGCCGGAAGACTGGACATTGACTAATGTGGTGCCATTATTTAAGAATGGCAGTAAGGAAAAGCCAGTGAGCCTGACATCAGTGATGGGCAAGTTGTTGAAGGGGATCCTGAGGGACAGGATTTATATGCATTTGGGAAGGCAATTAGGGATAGTCAGCATGGCTTTATGCATGGAAAATTGTGTCTTAGTAACTTGATTGAGCTTTTTGAAGATGTGACAAAGAAGATCGATGAAGGCAGAGCGGTGGATGTTGAATGTATGGACTTCAGCAAGGCATTCAACAAGGTTCTGCATGGTAGACTGGTTAATAAGGTTAGATCACATGGGATACAGGGGGAGCTAGCCAATTGCACATAAAATTGGCTTGAAAGCAGGAGACAGAGGGTGATGATGGAGTATTGTTTTTTGGACTGGAGGCCTGTGACAAATGGTGTGTCACAAGGATCAGTGCTTTTTGTCATTTATATAAATGATTTTGATGTAAACGTAGGAGGTATGGTTAGTAAGTTTGTACATGACACCAAAAATGGTGGTGTTGTGGATAGTGAAGAACATTATCTCAGAATACAACGGGACCTTGTGATCTATACCCATCTACCCATCACTTCATGCTCTCTGTGCCCCCAATTATCCACATTGCCCTTCATAGTCCTTGTGCTAACTCATTGTCAACTCATTCATCCATCTCAGGCATACCTCAGGAGACATATTTACATCCAAAAGGAACAAATTGAGAAGAACAAAAGAGAAGTACAGCACAGGAACAGGCCCTTCGGCCCTCCAAGCCTGTGCCGATCATCATGCCCTAACTAAACTAAAAAAAACCTTTTTCCCTTATTTGGCCTGTATCTCTCTATTCCCTCCTATTCATGGAACCATCCAGATGTCTCTTAAATATTGCCAACGCGCCTGCTTCCATCACCTCTTCTGGCAGTGCATTCCAGGATCCTACCACTCTCTGTGTGAAAAACGTCTCTCACATATCTCCCTTAAACCTTCCCCCCTCACCTTGAAATTGTGCCCCCTTGTAATTGAAACTTCAACCCTGGGAAAAAGTCTCTGAATATCCACCCTATCTATGCCTCTGATAATTTTGTAGACCTCTATCAAGTCTCCTCTCAGCCACCATCTTTCCAGTGAAAACAGCCCTAGTCTTTTTAACCTTTCCTCATAGTCAGTGCCCTGGAGACAGGGCAACATCCTGGTGAACCTTCTCTGCAGTCTTTCTAAATCTTTCACATCTTTCTGGTAGTGTGAAGACTAAAACTGCACAAAATATTCCAAATCCAGCCTAATAAGGGTTTTATATAGCTGCAACGTGGTTTGCCAACTCTTATAATCCATGCCCGAGGTGATGAAGGCAAGGCTGCCATATGCCTTCTTAATCACCTTGGCCACCTGTGTTGCCACTTTTAGGGAACTGTGGACCTGCATTCCCAGATCCGTCTGTATGTTAATGTTCCTAAGAGTTCCTAAGAATGATTCACAGCTAAATTTGATCCTCCAAAATGCATCACCTCATCTTTGTCTGGATTAAAAGTCCACCTGCCATTTCTATGCCCAAATCACCAATCTATCTATATCCTGTTGTATCCTTTCACAATCGTCGGCAGTATGAACAACTCCACCAATCTTCATGTCATCTGTAAACGTACTAATCAGACCATCCATATTTTCCTCCAGATCATTTATATATACTAGAAACAACAGAGGACCTAAGACAAATCCCAGTGGAACACCACTGGTTACTGGGCACTATTCTGAAAAACACCATTCCATTCTTTCAGTCTGTCTTCTATGACCAAACCAGTTTTGTATCCATCCAGCCAGCCCGCCCCGAATCCCATATGATTTTAATTTTTGTACCAACCTGCCATGTGGAATTTTATCAAATGCCTTACTCAAGTCCACATAAACTACATCCACACTCCTTCCCTCATCAAATATCTTTGTTACCTCTTCAAAAAATTCGATCAGATTGGTGAGACACAACCTTTCCCATACCAAACCATGCTGCCTGTCACTAACTAGTACATTTTCTTCCAAATGTGTATATTTCTTGTCCCTCAATATCTTCTCCAAGAGCTTCCCCACACAGACGTCAGGCTTACTGGCCTATAATTTCCTGGATTATCTCTGCTTCCTTTCTTAAACAAGGGAACAACACTGGATAATCTCCAGTCCTCTGGAACCTTGCCTATGGTCAAAGAGGATGTGAAGATATCTGCTGAAGCTCCAATTATTTCTTCCGTTGCCTCTAGCAGAAACCTGGGATAGATCCCATCTGGCCCAGGGGACTTGTCTATTTTAATACAACTTTGGATACTCAAAACTTCCTCCTTCAATATATTGACATTCTGTAGTGCATTCACACACTCATCCCTGACCAGAACAACAGTCATGTCTTTCTTGGTGAATGCCAATACAAAGAACTCGTTAAGGAACTCTCCCACTCCAGTGGCTCCATGCATAACTTAACATCCACTAAAGTTTCTGTCTATTAATGATGACACTCTTGAAAAGAAACATTCATTAATACAAAAGCTATTCAAAACATAGAAATTCCTTCGAATAATCTCCTATGTAAACAAACGTTTCACTTAATTGCTCAATCCCTCACAATGACAAAACTTCATTCTAATACTCAATCTCTCATATACATAAAACACAAGTGAAGAATGTGATTGAATAGTCTCCATTCTGCCACTACCTCTGTAATCTCTTAGATTTGTTAGAACAATTGATGCCCACGAAGTGAAACCTCTATCAAAAGCCTTTAGAGTTCTTTTGCTTCTTTCAGAAAATCTACTGCAGAAAGCACTGCTTCAGAACCATTGTTATTCTCGGGTCTGTTCTTACTCAGGGTAATAACATATGGCACAACTGACAGGTAAATTTTGAGAAGTCCCAAGGATTTTTGCATATGAAATATGGGTATTTTAAACAAACATTTTTAACTTTAGATTAATACTGTATGCAAACTGTTACAGAACCCTTCAAGTATTATGGCTGGGAATTATCTGGTGCAGACTTTGACGAAGAACAAGAAGATGCTGAAGTATTAGCAGAGGAAGCAGAAGAAGAAGTTGCTGAAGAAGAGGAGGAAGTGGAGGAGGATGAAGAAGAGGAAGAAGAAGTAAGTGCACTCTAAAATTAGATATTTATTTTAATACTACTGTTGAAACTTACACCTTTTTCACTACATAACTTAATGCATAAAACATATATTTTGCCATTTTAAAAATTGCATACAAAGTTACATCAACAGACTATAACTGTAACTCCCTGATAAGCAGCAAAGATTAATGCAACAGTCAGAAAACTTGTTTGAAATTTTGATAAGAGCAACAGATTGTTTTTAAGAAAAATTTTCATTACTTCCTGATCAAACCCAGCAATAGCCTAGGTTGTGCTCAGTGAACCAGTATGAAAAAATGTTCACTTTTCATTTTGTTTTGTTGAGATGTTGTTGTGGGAAGAACATGAAGATGTGAATTTGGAGCAGTGGTCAGCAATTCAGTCTCTCGAGCCTGCTCCACCATTTGATATGATCATGGCTGATGTTACCTCTGCATCAACTCCACTTTCCTATCTGGTCCTCATAACTCTTTAACTACTTAAAAATCTATCTTCTCCTTCAATTTACTAAGATTCCCGGCATCCACCGCACTCTGGGGTAGTGAATTCCACAGATTCACGGTCCGTTGAGATTCCTCCTCGTCTATGTTTTACGTTTGCCACCCTTAACTTAAAACTAATACCTCTGACCCCACCAGGGGAATCATCTTCTCTATATCTATTTTGCCAATCCTCTTTAGCATCTTATATACCTCAATTAGATCTCTCCTCATCTTTCTCAACTCTGGCACATATAGGCCTAAACTGCTCAATCTCTCCTTAATTCTCTGTAATTAATCTAGTGAACCTCCTCTGAACTGCCTCCAATGCAATTACATCCTTTCTCAGGTAAGTTGACCAAAACTGTACACAGTACTCCAGACGCAGCCTTACCGATGCCTTGTACAATTACAACATTTCCCTACTTTTATTCTCCGTTCTATATTGCCAAATAAATTACCAACTGCCAATAAATGCTGTATCTGAATACTAGTTTTCTGTAACTCATGCATGAGGATACCCAGATCTGTCTGTACCAAATCATTTTATACTTTCTTTCCCTTCAGATAATAAGCTACCTTTTTAATCTTTTGACCAAAATGGATAACTTCACACTTATCCATGTTAAATTTCATCTGCCAAATTTTGGCCATCACCTAACCTATCCATATCCTTTCCATGTAAATGTCTTATTTCTTCATTACACCTTACTTCCCCACCTATTTTAGGGTCATTTGCAAATTTTGCTGTAGTACATTCTATCCCTGTATCCAAGTCATTAATATAGATTGTCAATATTTGGAGCCCAAGGACTGAACTCTGTTGGCACCCCACTAATTGCATCTTGTCGACCAGAAAAAGAACCATTCTTCCAACTCTCAGCTTTCTGTTGGTTCGCCAATCCAAGCTAATCCAAGCAACCCCACAGGATATTACCTTGTATATTAACCTTTTGTCCAACACCTTATCAAATGCCTTTTGGAAGTCCAGATATACCAGATCTACAGGACCCCCTCTAGCCATTAATATACTTTACCTAAAAAATGCAGCAAATATTTGTCTGATGTAACATTTAATAAACTTTATGGCAGGCAAGTATTAGTACAACGAGCATTTATCACATATAAATCACATACATTCATCGCACTTTTATCAATTGCAAATCAGTTCTGCTTGTGAAGCAATTGTGGGTACAAAGGAACATTGGAACACAGAAACAGGAGTGAACCGTTCAGTCTGTCGAACCTGTTTCACTATTCAATTTGATCATGGCTGATCATCCACTTATGTTTTTTGGATTGTAGACTAAAAGTGGGCAAAGCTACTGACTTAAACTAGGGAACAGTGGAAGGAGATGTTGCAGTTTTTAAAATGACTTATTGGAACTCATTGTGACTTGTATCTACAATGTTACCTTATTTAAGCGGTAGGTGACAATGCTCCACGTATAGGCTCCTAAGTGTGTTTCTGGGCAATTTCACCCAGATACAGTCTTTTGATTGGTTTTCCAGTCAGGACCAGTTATGTGCTCAGCATAAAAACAACTTCTTGATTGGTTCCTGGGCAAATGGAACAGCTTTGTGTTTGGACAATATAGCAAAAACATCCAGCCTGTGAAGAAGAAAGCTCCAAAATCTCTCTCTCGTATCAAGAAATATCAAAAAATCTCCTGGTATCTATTCTCACTCACAGTGCTCCTGTAACCAGCTTTCTCTGTGAATTCCCTTGTTGAAAAAAGGGAGAAAATACCTTCAGGGACAGTGAAAGAGACAATCTTCAACCATGGATGAATGATTGAGAATCAGTGGACCCACAATCTTGCAACCTCATTAAAGAGTTAATAGGGTTCAAAAGGATCCAAAAGAAAACAACTCATTGACATCTGTAACGCAGACTGATGCCATGACTGTGCTTCACTGACTACTTTTTCCATCGCACCTGTAATTTTTGTGCTTTGGCTTGACTCTTTGAGTGAATGTTTATGAGTATGAGAATTTTAAAAGAGGTGGGTAGAATTTAAGTTACAGAGTTATAAGTTAGCAATACATGTTTCTTTCTCTTCATGGGTTAAAAACAGTTTGATTACAATTTAAACTCGTTTGGGAGGGGGCCAGAAGTCGGAGTGCTAGTACAATAGGGACATAGTATAATATAGTAAAGGAACCAAAACAGAGAGAGGATCTGGCCAAAGTAGACCAGGAACAACTACTTGTGGGAAAATACAGAACAGCAGTTGGGGGCTGTTCAAAAAGGAAATAGGAGAGTTCAGGCCCATCATGTTCCATTTAACATTGTTCCCTTTAGGGTGAAATAGATGTGGAGAAGATGTTTCCACTAGTAGGAGAGACTAGGGCCCAAGGGCATAGCCCCAGAATATAGCATACCCAATGAAGTGGCCAATGGAAAACTGGATACTGCTCATGCAAATTAAATTGACAAGTATGCTTCAATATTAGAGGAGATTTCCTTGTATAATGATGTTAAAACAGGCTGTTCTGGGTTCACACATGTTAGTTCCTGAAGCCTAGAGGCAAAAGTTTGATATTCAAGGAAATACTCTAGACAAACCTACATCCAGGTAATGAGGTGTATATCCCAGTTTGATTGTATAAAGTAAAATTGAAATAAAAGAAGGTGTTAATTCAAAGTAAGTATTTGGCAAGTCCTCATTGAGGCTCAGAGAGCAGTTCCGAAGGTAAGTAAGCTAGCAGAGGTAGCTCATACTGAAGTTGAGGCTGAAGGCGTTTCGGAATATTATTATACTAGAAGCAAAGTACTGATGAGCAAGTGGAGATACCCTCACGTACATACCTAATGTCAGAGAATGGATGGTTGTTCTTATATAGTGGTGCCGCCCAAGTATCGTAAGGAGATATTGTTAGTAGTACATAAAATTCCTATGATAGAACATATAGGAATATGTTTCAGACTGTAAGGAGTCTTCATTTGTCTGCTAATCTTTTACTTTTTACATGCTTATGAAGTTCTTATAGACCATTTTTATGTTCCATGCAAGTTTACTCTCAAACTCTATATTTCCCCTCTTAATCAACCGCCCGGTTCTCCTTTGCTAATTTCTAAACTGCTTCCAGTCTGCTACTTTTTCTAGCAACCTTAGATAAAGTTGAAAGATTTAAGCAAAGTAATTTTCACAGATGAATATGAGGCATAGGAGTTTAAACCATGTACAAAATTCTCACAGAGATCATTCTCTCAAAAGAGTTAGAAACTCACTACCTTTTGGAATTAGAACTCAAGCTAAGGACATGAAGGTTGCAACTGATAGACAGCAGTAATTGGTGATGATTATGAGCTGATGCATAAAATTAAATCTTTTTTCTATTACCCCCATAGTCTTGAGGATAGAGAATGGAAGAATGAAAGGAAAGCAAGTAGCCATTGTAAAGAAAGGTCAACTGGAAATGACCTAAAGTCTCCTCCTCAGATCAGAAAGCAAGGTGCTGAGGGTGGAGGTGAAATTCAGAGGCCTAAGTGTTTCCATTGCAATAAATTAGAACATCTTTATTCAGAATGCTGGGAGTTGCAAGTGAAGTGCATGGACTTATTGAGGGTTGTAACTGTGGATCTGAAACTGGAACTCAAAAGGAAAATACCACGGAAAAAAAAATAGCTTTGACTACAACTAGGAAACTGGAAGTAAAAACTGTGTGAATCTAGAGAGGTGAATAGGATAGATTAGAGGTATGCAGGGTTTCCGACAAATAGGAAGAAAATCCATTTTTGTTCAAATGATATTGCTAAACACATAACTATATTAAGAGACATGGCCGCCACTTAGACTCTTTTGCTGCATATTGATCTAATTTTCCATCCAGGGAATGAAATGAAATCTAGTAGACAGTGTAAGTGAGGAATATATCCCTGTCCATTGTATAAAATAAAATTGGAATGTGACTTGTTGTCCAGAGCAATGGTAGTAAGAATTGTCAAGAAATTAGCCATGGATGGAATTGACTTACTCCTGGGTAATGATTTGGCTGGAGTAAAACTAGCTTTGCCCATAATCAGAGAAAGCCCCATCTGAGGTGGAAGAGGTGGAACAGTTACAGGACCAGGTTCAAGGTATTTTTCAATCATGTATAGTCATCCAAGCAATGACTAAACAAAATCCATCACCAGTAGTCAAAGTAATACCACAAATGGATAATAGAGTAGCTAAAACTTTGCATAAAGAAGGGATTAGTTCAAAGGAAATATTTGGCAAATCTTCATTACTTGAAGCTTAGAGAGCAGATCCAATGTTGAATAAGTCAGCACAGGTAGCTCACACTAAAGCTGAGGCTGAAGGGGTTCTAGAGTGTTAATATATTAAAACAAAATTCTGATGAGGACATGGAAACACCCTCACAGACCTGCAAACAAGGAATGGATAGGTGTTCTTTAATGGTGGTATTGCTCAAGTATTGTAAGAAGCTATTTTGAGTAATGCATGAAATTCCTATGGTAGGACATTCATCAACACATTTCAGACTGCAAGGAGTCTATATTCGTCTGCTAATTTTTTTTTCTTCTTGCATACTTACAGAAGCTCTTATGGTCCATCTTTATGTTCCTTGCAAGTTTACTCTAATGCTGTAATTTTCCCCTGTTAGTTAATCTCTTGGTACTCCTTTAATTAATTCTACACTGCTTCCAGTCTGTGGGTTTGCTACTTTTTCAATAAGTTTACACGAATCCTCTTTGAATCTTATGCTATCCTTAATTTGCTTTGTTAGCCATGATGGGTTAATTTTCTTGATGAGTTCTTTTGCCTGAAAATGATGTATAACTACTTTAACAAGGACCTTACTGACTGCTATCAAGAACAGATATATGTATGCAAAAGAAATGGAAGAGATTAGAGACCCTCCAGTTTAGGATAAAACTACAGACCTCAGGTCATCAGGAAGACAGTCCAAGTCAACTACTTCTATTCAACATAATATGATCCTGTGGTTCTTTCCAGGCCTGAATAGAACATGTTTGGGAAGAATGATGGAACTTCCAGATCATCTAAGCTTGTAAAGTTGAAGACCTTGGGGGGAGGTTGGGTTGTGGTAAATATAAATATATAAGTAAATCTATAACATTATAATTTTGAGGAAAAAAGAATTGTGGGGACATATGTAATGTGGATGTGAAAAGATCAATATTTGATAAACTGTAGTAAGCACTACCCACTGTAGTGATATCACAGGTACTTCATCAAAGGAAAAATTGAACTACAGGACACAGACCTGACGGTGGTATATTCCTAACAGTCTCTATTCATGTAATATCTGAATAATTGTAGTAAATCAATAAATATCATATTGTGCATTCACCAAAATCACACACACGTATACATATACACATACCCTTTTTCTTCTGTTGAGTTCTGAGGAAGGGTCACCGGACCCGAAACATTAACTCTGCTTTTCCTTCACAGATGCTGCCAGACCTGCTGAGCTTTTCCAGCAGCTTTGTTTTTTTATTCCATTTTTCTTCTGGTCTGCAAAAAAGCACCAGATCCCAATTTAAATAAGAAGATCGGATCCTGATGACATTATGCTCTTTCCAAAAATTACCAAATGCCCTGCTGAATTTAGAGTAGAAAGTGAAGAAATTTTCTATTAAAATATTGAATAAATATTGGTAAATTACAAATGGTGAAGTAGTTGTCATTTGGTTGTTGTGTAATATGGTACAAAAAGTGGCAAACCAGAGATTTTTTTTTGATCTTCATTGGCTCATGGGATGTGAGCATCTCTGACTAGACCAGCATTTATTGCCCATTCAGTTTTAGAGTCAGCTACATTGGTTCTGGATTCACATGTAGGCCAGACCAGGTGAGGATGGAAGATTTTGTTCCCTAAAGGGCATTAGTGAACCAGATGAATTTTTCAACATCAGACCATGATTACATGCTTTTAATTCCAGATTTTTTATTGAATTCAAGTTTCACCATCTGCCAAAGCAGGATTTGAACACAAGTCTCCAGAATATTAGCCCAGTATTTTGGGTTACTAGCCCAGTGAGGTTACCACTACACCATGTAATCATGGTCCGATGTTGTAAAAAATCATCTGGTTCTCTGATGTGAATCCAGAACCAATGCAGCTGACTCTAAAACTGGATGGGCAATAAATGCTGATCTGGTGAGAGGTGCTCACATCCCATGAACCAATAAAACAAAAAAAAATCTCTGGTGCTAGCACCATCTTTGGGCAGCACTGTGGCTCAGTGGATAGCACAACTGCCTCACAGTGCCAAGGACCTGTGTTCAATTCCACCCTCAGGTGACTGTTTGTGTGGAGTTTGCACATTCTTCCTGTGTCTGTGTGGGTTTCCTCCAGGTACTCCAGTTTCCTCCCACAGTCTAAAGATGTGCAGGTTAGGTGGATTGGCTATGCTAAATTGCAAATAGTGTCTAGGGTGGGAAATGTAGGGGGTGGGTCTGGCTGGGATGCTCTTTGGAGGGTCAGTGTGAACTTGATGGCCTGAATGGCCTACTTCCATGCTGCAGGGATTCTATGCTTCTAAAACTTAAACATTTCAATTTTCTTCCAGAATGAAGATTTGGCTCAACAAAAGAACAGACAGATGGGAGAAAGTAAACATTACTGTCCCGTGGTCTTAAAAGAAAAAGCAGTTCTTCATCCAGGTGATAAAGAATGTGGTGCTAAATATCGAGAAAAATATTATTATTTTTCTCATCCAACTGCTAGAGATGAATTCTTAAAGAATCCAGAAGAATATATAAATGAAAATGAACCTCTAAAGGTAATGATCTTTGACTAGTAAATATTTCTATTGTATGAAATGCATAAATTAAATTTTATTTTTCACTCAGCCGCCTATTTAGTTAACTTTATACATATTTTTTAAAATGACAATCTATATTTTTGGCAATAACAAGTTTTATCATTAAATTAATTTTAATTGTCTCTAATCTACTAATTAATTAAGTTTAACAGAATATATGAAACAAACTGTGAGAATGTTCTCATTACCAACTTTAACATCAGGCATTTGATGTTCCTAGTCTTCGTCAACTGTCTTTCTCTAATTGTTGAAAGAGAAATGCCATCATCTGTAGGAAAATCAACCAATAAAGTTCATAGAATATGGAACTATTTGTGTAAATGTCACTTACTCAGTCTAGACTTTATATGAGATTATATTGGTCCAGATCAGCTTCAATAACTTTTAGTATTGAGACCATGATCATTATTAGTGCATACCACAGATGAGGTGGTTTTCTGGCTTTGCCAGAGAATAATATTCTTTGTTTTTTAATTAGTTTTTGGGAAATGGGCATTACTATCAAGGTCAGCATTTATTGATTATCCCTAGCTGCCTTCTTGAACTATGGAAGGTGAAGGTACCCCCCACCATTGCAGTTTAATAGAGTGTGTCATGATTCTTATGAGGCAATGCTGTGGCAATGGGATTCATGTCTTGAGATTGTGCGCGATTTAAATAGAATCCTGGAGGTGATGGAGTACTGGTAAACTGACTGGCCTTATCCTTATAGATGGTAATAGTCACAGACCTGAAGGGTTTTTTGAAGACTTGGTGAATTTCTGGCCACCAGGCCCGTGGCTTATGGTGGAGCACTTAACATGAAGGACTGTAAAATTGAACACTTCTTTATTTCTTTGTTTTTCTGCCTTTATATTCTACGTTTGGTTTATTTTTCTGTGTTTTAAGATGGTGCCGGAGAGTGGCAACACTACACAACACTTTTCTATGTATTTTCTAACAAAATACATGTGACAGTAAATCAAATCAAATAAATAAATAAAATAAAATTTTAAAAAGCTTTAATAATAATCAAGGATGCTTTGGATGTTATGGCTTATAAATAGGAGTGGTGCATAGTTTCTGAACACTAATTGACCCAATAGTTTCTAATATGGTAGGCAAGAAGCAGCCAAACATTTGTGGCTGGAAGTGCATCACTCAAACTTTGATAATGTGATTTGTATTTGTAGCATTAGTGCACACTATCTGCATTCTAAGCAGAAAGTGAGGGTAATGTACTGAATTTAGGGATCTGTGCTTTGCATGTTGATCTAATGTTATATTTAAAGGTACCATGTGATACTTACAAATTAGTAGCTGATTTACGGTGCTAATATTCTTCTTTGAGGCTGAGGAACAAGAACCAGGACTGTTTCAAACCTGCTGGTGGAGGGGCAACAATCACTTGTTGTGTCTTTGATCTGAGCATCAATGTGGAAACAAGTCACACATGTATTTAAGAGCAGCTGGTGGCACTCTCAAAGCTGGTGGACTAATCATCTTCCGGTTTCAAAGCAGCAAGTGGCTGCAGTAAGTAATTGAGAGGGCTGTCAACTCATGGAACATTTAGGCAGTGATAATTAATAAAAATGCCAGGCTTCCCATAACCAGATGAGATTTTACAAATTAAACAGTGGTTACCATTAGGCTAGCTTTTTATTTATTGAATTCAAACTTTTCACCAGAACAGTGGGATTCAAATCCATGCCCTCAAAACGTTAGATTGAAGTTCTGGATTGCTAGTCTGGTGACATTATCACTACATTACCATCTCTCTGTTATTGTTCTGGTTAATGCTATGATTGACAAAATTCAGATCACAATGTTTTGTATATGAAAGGAATAAATTAACAAATGATCGCTGTTATACCCATGAAAATATGTCTTTTATTTTTAAACAGCCACCTCCATTAAGGTTATTCGTATTTGGGGCTAAAGGATCTGGTAAAACAATTAATAGCAGATGGTTGGCAAAAAAATTCGGCATCTTTCACATTCAGTTCGTTGAATGTATTCAGGAGCTCCTTTTCCCTAAAACTAAAAAAAAGATTGGGCCTGAATACGATGATGAACCAACAGAAGAAGAGCTGATTGAAATAGCAACCATTGCAGCACTTGAAAGGGGTGAACCAGCTGAAAATATTGAGATTGAAAATGAAAAACCAGAGGTACAACTTAATAATTTTGCATAGAAATAAATATTAAAATGCCGATTCACATTTTCCCAACTATTAATTTAAAAATAAACTCTGAAGTTTTCTGAAGTTCTTTGATGACCTAGTACATAGATGAACCACTCAATCTAAGCCTAAACTATCTAGCAAAGAACATTGGAAAATCATCTTCTCTTCTGCATTGAGTTAGCAGATCTCAGTTGGAGAGCAATCATTGGCCTCAGGACCAGTTGACTCAAGACAGCAGAAGTCAGCTACAGTTCTCACTAGTGATTTCTGGCTAATAATTTCCAATAGAGTGCCTATGTATAAGCATGAGATCAGAACAGTATCATGGCCAGCTGTGAATATGTATATTTAATGGCTAATGAAAGTCTGAAAAATAGAAACAAATGCTAGTCTGTTCATGGGATGTGACGCTTGCTGGAAAGCTATTTGTTACTCAACCAAAGTGCCTTTCAGGAGGTGATAGAGGGCGTGAATGCCTAAGAAAGTATCAACTAGGCGTGCTGCTTTGTCTAGATATGTTGAACTTCTTGAATACTTTTGGAGCTGTAATTTTCCATACAAAAGGACCATATTCCATAACACTCCTGATGTGTGCCTTGTAGATGGTGGATAGTCTTCAGGAAATATATTTTAGAGTTCAGGATATCCTTCAGGATATGAGCTACTTGTCACAGAATTCCAAGCTTCTGACTTATTCTTGTCATTACATATTGATATGGCTGGCCTAGTTAAGTTTTTTGTCAGTGGTAAATCTCAGAATGTTAATGGTGGTGGAGGATTCAGCAATTGAACGCAGTTGAAAGTGGTTAGATTTTCTAAAAGCAAAATACTGCTCCTGCTGTGAATATTAAATAAAAAGAAAATACTGGAAACACTCAATGGGTCTGGCAGCATGCGTGGAGAGAGAAACTGAGTTAATGTTTCGGATTATCACCTTTCATCAGAATTTAGAAAATTTACAAATGGTGAAAGCTCAGAAGTATCATAAGTAGATTATAAGTAGATAAAATATTAGAAGGTGGAAAAATAACAAAACAAGAAGATAAAGCAGAAGTTGGGAAACATTAAATGACGGAATTTATGGGGCAAAGCCAAGCGGAATATTAATAGGATGTACAAAGTTAAGAAATGATGCATCCAGAAGAATTGTAAATGAAGAATAATGAATAACAGTCATCTGAAAGCAAAAATGAGAAAATTTAAGACCAACTTAAGTAAGGTAATCAGAATGGGGGAGCAGAGATCAGAGCACAGAACACAGAACAGTACAGCACAGGAACCCTGCAGCCCACGATGTTGTGCCGAACATGACGCCAGATTAAACTAATCCCTTTCTGCCCTCCTTTGGTCTATGTCCCTCCATTTCTTGCATATTCACATGCTTATCTAAAAGACTCTTAAACACCGCTATTGTATCTGCCTCCAACTACAACCCCTGCTACAACTCTGTAAAAAACTTGCCCCTCACATCTGCTGTGAACTTTCCCCCTCACCTTAAATGCATGCCCCGTAGTATTAGACATGCCGACTCTGAGAAAAAGATCTGACCATCAACCCTATCTATGCATCTCATAATTTTATTGACTTCTATTGAGTCTCCCCTCAGCCTCTGCCGCTCCAGAGAAAACAACCTGAGTTCTTCTAGCCTCTCCGGACAGCATCCTGGTAAACGTCTTCTGCCTCCACATCCTTCCTGTAATGTGGCAACCAGAATTGAATGCAATGCTCTTCAGTGATGCCTAACTAAAGTCTTATGAAGTTGCAATATGACATCCTGACTCTTGTATTTAATCCCCAACCAATAAAGGCAAGTGTGCCATATGCCTTCTTTACCACCCTATCAACTTCTGTGGCCACTTTAAGGGAGCTATGGACTTGAATCCCAAGGTCCCTCTATACATCAATGCTGTTCAGGGTCCTGCCATTGACTGTATACTTTTCCTCAACATTTGATCTTCCAAAGTGCAACACCTCACACTTTAAACTCCACCTGTCATTTTGCCGCCCATATCTGCAACTGATTTATATCCCATTGGATCTTTTGACAACCTTCTACACTATCTACAACTCTACCAATCTTTGTGTTGTCTGCAAACTTACTAACTCACCCATTTACATTTTCATCCAAGTCATTTATATATATCATAAACAGCAGAGGTCCAGTAGGAATCCCTGCAGAACACCACTAGTCATGGACCTCCAGCCAGAAAAACACCCTTCTACTACTATCCTCTTCCTTCTATGAGCAAGCCAATTCTGAATCCATGCAACCAAGTCACCATGGATTCCATGCATCTTAATCTTCTGGATAAGCCTACCATGAGGACCTTGTCGAAAGCCTTACTAAAATCCATGTAGACAACATCCATTGCTCTACCCTTATTGATCACTTTTGTCACCTCCTCAAAAAATTCAATCAAGTTAATAAGACATGACCTGCCCTGCACAAAGCCATGCTGATTGTCCCTAATTAGGCCATACTTTTCCAAATCATGTAAATCCTATACCTAAGAATTCTTTCCAATAGCTTCCCAACCACTAATGTGACACTCACCGGTCTATGGTTTCCCGGATTATCCCTATTTCCCTTTAGAACAGGGGAACAACATTAGCTACTCGCCAGTCCTCGGACCTCTCCAGTGGCTAATGAGGATACAAAGTTCTTGGTCAAGGCCCCGCAATCTCCTCTCTTGTCTCTCTCAGTAACCTGGGGTAGATACAATCGGGCCCTGTGGTCTTATCCACCTTAATGTTCTTCAAGAGACCCAACACCACTTCCTTCTTGATCTCAAAATGCCGTAGCATATTAGCATGCTCCACATAATCTCACTATCCTCCATAACCTTCTCCTGGATGAATACTGACACAAAGTACTCATTTAAGATCTTGCCCACTTCCTTTGCCCCCAAGCACAAGTTCCCTCCTTTATCTTTGAGTGGTCCTACCTTCTCCCTACTTATTCTCTTGTATTAATATATCTATAGAATGCCTTGGGATTCTCCTTAACCCTATTTTCCAAGGTTATTTCATGGCCCCTTCTTGCTCTCCTGATTCCCTGCTTGAGTTCTTTCCTGTTTTCTTTATATTCCTCACGGGCCTTGTCTGATTTTAGCTTCCTAAACCTTACATATGCTTTTTTTTTTCCTTTTGACTAAATTCACAACCTCTCTTGTTATCCAAGGGTCCCTTACCTTGCCATCCTTGTCCTTCCTCCTTATTGGAACATGTCGGTCCTGAACTCTGATCAGTAGGTCTTTAAACAAATCCTGCATGTCAAATATGGATTTGTCTGGTAACAGCTCATCTGGTAACATCTAGTAATATTCCCTAGCTCCTGCCTAATACTTATGTAATTTGCCCTCCCCTAATTTAATACCTTCCTGCAAGGTCCTGACTTATCTTTATTCATAGCTATCTTAAAACTTAGGGAATTGTGATCACTGTTTCCAAAGTGCTCTCCCACTGAAAGGTCAGTCACCTGGCCAGGCTCATTAGCCAATAAAAGGTCCAGTATGGTCCCTCCTGTAGTTGAACTATCCACATACTGTTTCAAGAAACCCTGTAGGATGCACTTGACAAATTCTGCCCCATCTAAGCCTCTTGCTCTAAGTGAGCCTCAGTCAATATTGAGGAAGTTAAAAGTCACCCACTATGATAACCCTGTTATTATTGCATCTTTCTATCATCTGCCTACATATTCATTCCTCAATGTTTCGCTGACTGTTGGGGGAGGGGGGCTGAAGTATAATCCTATCAGAGTGATTGTATCTACCTTATTTTAAGCTGTACCCATATTGCCTCAGCAGATGAGCCCTCCAATATGTCCTTTCTGAGTGCAGATGTAATGTTCTCCCTGGCTAATAATGCAACTCCTCCACCTCCTTTACCTTTCTCCCTATCTTGTTTAAAATAATGAAATCCTGCAATGTTGAGCAGCCAGTCCTGTCCCTCTCTCAAACAAGTCTCTGTAATGGCCACAACATCATAGTCCCATATATTGATCCAGACTCTAGGCTCATCTGCCTTACCTATAATGCTCCTTGTGTTGAAGTAAACACACTTCAACCTATTAATACCATGGTGTTTATTTACCTGTCTCTGCCTGTCCTTCCTTTCTGACTTACTGGTCCTAATATCTGCCTTCCCCTCAACCCCTCCACTTGCTGACCTGAAATTGTGGAACATAATGTCAAACATAGAAGACTGAAAACTGTATAATCATAAAATGAGGTGCTATTCTTCAAGCTCACACTGAGCTTCATTGGGTTACTGCAGTCGGCTGAGGACAAAATGTCAGCATGAGACCTAAATGGAGAGTTCAAACGACAGGACACAGGAAGCTTGAGTTCATGTTTATGACTGAATGGAGGTGTTCCTCAAGCAATCATCAAATCAGCATTTTAATGTCCAAAATGTAGGGGACACAATATGAGTAGGGACAAGCAAAATGAGAAAGGTAGTGAAATTAACAATCCTAACAATGTGATTAACAAAACATGAACGGAAGTCAACATTTTTTTATAAAAGAAATCATGCTTGACAAATTTATGACAGTGTTTGAGGATTAGTAGGGCAGATAAGTGGGAACCAGTAGATGTAGCATGAGCAGGTATTGTTGAGCTCCCAGGACTTGATGGCCAAAGAAAGTTCATTCATAACATGACCAAACAGATAACAAATTGAAAATCTTTTCAGGGTAAGTCAATAGTTGGCTGATAGAGTGTGAGAGATTTCTGATTAGCCATGTGATGGAAAGAAATTGGAGCCCATTCCATCACTAGCCATACGGCAGGCAACAACGTGTAAAAGTCTATGTTGCCACAGCTTGAATTCCTGTGGGACCCGCTTGCCTCAGTTGACTGAATGGATTAGTTTTCAATATTTTGCTCATGGAATTAGTGATATTAGCATGGATATAGGATTGGTTACTGGATGAAGAGCAAAGTGTAAAGATAAACAAGGCATTTTTAAGTTGGATAACTGTGATTAGTGCGATCTTGCAATGTCTAGTGCTGGGACTTAGTCTATTAAGTGACTTAGGTGAAGAGTTTGAGGATGATGTATCCAACTTCGGTAATTGTTCAAAGCTGGATGTGAATGTAGCCTGTGAGTAGCACACAAAAGGGCACCAAAGAGATAAAGGCACATTATGTGGATGAGTAATAAGGTGACATGGGTATGTATGATATTATTCACTTTGATAATAAGAAAAGAAAAGCAGAATATATATTTTTACAGGCATGAATATGGTAAATTTTGATGTTCAGAGGGGATTAGGTATACTTGTACCCAAGGCAAATTAGCCTTTACTCCAAGGGGATTTGACTTCAAAATAAGGAAATATTGCTACACTTACACAGGTCTTGTGGAGAACACACCTGAAGTACTATGCACAGTTTTGGCCTTCATATTTAAAGAGGATATACTTGCCTTTGACATAATACAGTGAATGTTCACTGCACTAGTGTCTGGGATAGGAGCTATGATGAGTAAATTGCTACGTAAATTGGACCTATACTACCTGGAGTTTCGAGGACTGACCTCATTGAAATATACAAAGTTATGAAGTGACTCCGCAGGATAGATACTGAGAGGTTGTTTTCCTTGGCTGAGAAATCTAGAATGCTGTCACAGGGGCATGGTCTCATGATAAAGTTCAGATCATTTAGGCCTGAGATGAATAGTAATAAGTAGGACTCAAAATTGTGAATGTTTGGAATTCTCCAACACAGATGATTGTGAATATTCTACTGTTGAACATATTTAAAGCTGAAATAAAAAATGCTGGAGAAACTCGGCAGGTCTGACAGCATCTGTGCAGCTCTGAAGAAGAGTCATATCAGCTTCAAAATGTTAACTTTATTTCAATCTTCATAGGTGCTGCCAGATCTGTTGAGTTTCTTCAACACTTTGCTTTTCTCAGATCTCCAGCAACTGCATTACTTTGCTTTATATTTAAAAATGAAACAGACAGATGTTTGGTCATTCAGGGAAATGGGAAGTGGATTGAAAAATGAAGCAAAACTGTAAGCTAGTCATGGTCCTAGGGAATGGTAGGGTAGGCTCAAAGGGCAGTATGGTATATTCTTGCACATATTTCTTGTTTTGTCATGTAAATACTTCTAAGTTAGTTTATGATACTGTTCACATAATGTTAGTCTTATCACACAGGAAGAAGAAGTGGAGTATACTGCAGAAGAAGAAGCCATGAAAGCATACCTCCTTGAAGATGAGCAATTGCCATCAGAAATCCTCGATAAACTTATTCCAAAGTGGTGGAATGAAGAACCATTCAAGTGAGTTCAATTTACTTCAGACATAAGGAACTTTCCCAATTACAGTTAAAGTGTGATGGTGAAAGAGTTTCATGGCATTCACTTCACCAAGGCCCTCAGAATGTGGCAATGGCCTATCCAGCTGGAATTCAACACCTGAGCCCTTTATAAAGGGATGGGTCTGCAGAACTGTCTGCCCGAGACTGGGACTAGCCTTTCTAAGCCACAAGTAATGACTCTATTTTAGTGTCCAATGGTGGATGGTGTTCCTTTTCACTGGGGCTTCCTGAGTCATTACATTGGGACACAGAAGGGAGTTTTTAGACCACAACCTGCTAGACAGGAAGAGGAAGTTAGTTGCTCCTGCCTGGAGGAGGAAGAGGAGCTTGGAAAGTGGAGTCTAGAGGCCAAAGTGAAACCTTGAGCTAAGGATGGTGCTATTGCCTGGCCTGAGTGCGAGTTGTGTGCTGCCTGGAGGCCTTTTGGATTGTTGCTGCCTGAAGGCGCCTTGGCTAGCTTGTAATGCAGAGTGATACCAACGGCTTTCCGCACCACCTAAGGTTACCATGAATGCCTCTCCTTTCAACCTCACCCCTCGCCTGAAGTGTGGCAACCCCCCAGGTTAAACCACCACCAGACATCTCTCTCTAAAGAAAGAGCAGCCATTTGGTCTGGTATGGTTTATGGTGATATCACATCGATACATTAAAAATCATCTGTGGTCTCTGTTATCTAATACAAAACTCCGAGAAAGATGGTTTAACATGCCTGGCTTTAACAAATTTATGCTAGCTTTTCTTAAACATTGGATGTTCACAATGGATTATTAATTTTTCCAAAAATATTGTTTCTACAAGCCTTCTCAGCACAGCAGTTAAACTGAATAACCTTCAGTTGCTGGGCTTACCTTAACACTCTTTTTTGAATAAAGTTGTAATGCTTGGAAAGATACAGTCCTCTAGTACCACCCCTGTATCCAAGGAGGATCGAACATTGTAGCCAGTCAGAAAATCAAACCATTACTATAACTATTTAGAACTCCATTTTTAACTCAATAGTATTAGCCTTCCACAAATATTAAAATAATTGTAAACTTATTTTTAAACTTGTCATTGCATTTGGTTGGAAATATACTCTAATGAATGAAATTCAAACTGGTGTGAAATATTTTATCAATTCAGTCTATCTTTCCTGGCTTTGGTGTGCTTATGAATCTGATAAAAAAAGACTGACCCTTAAAGTTGGCTAGTGCCATTATTTATCCAAAATTTTACAACAATGCAAAGTTGCCACTTTCAGTTATACCCGAAAGATACTTTTCGTTTGAAAACGGAAGGTTGATAATTGGTAGTGAAGCTCTTTAATATTCCATAGGTTTTATATACAAGTTTACATTGTGATGGTATACATAATGACATAAATCTATTGTATACATTGCATTTTCCAGATCTACAGGGTTTGTTCTGGATGGTTTTCCAGCTACATCAGACGAAGTTCAGTACCTAGCAAAATATAGCTTGTTCCCAGATGCAGCCATTTTCATTAAGGTTGAAGAGAGTAATGTGATAGATTGGATCCTTCCTTCAAGACTTGAAAAATGGAAAGAAAAACGCAGACAAAAGCTAGAACGCAAGAATAAAATAAAAGAATTGAAGAAAAAAATAAGGGTATGATTAGGAGAACTGCTTGTAATGAGAACTTGTCAACAAAGTGGCCTTTTGTAATGTATTAACTGTAAATAATCAGACCGCACTGGCTTAAGTTAATTTATGTATTTTTGTCATAAGTTGTACTAAATACCTTTACAAAAGGCCTACTCGGTGGTCATTTGGACTCATGCCCAATATTAGTGATATAACCAAAACTGAGAAGTGCCCTATTTCTCTGTTGTCATACTATTTCACTAATTGCAACGTCTGTTAAAAATAAGCTTTACGCAGTGAAATAGTGAATTATATTTGTTAATCCATCAGTTGTTGACTTCAAATCCACTAACCACATCTTCTTAACAAGCAACAGAACTATTGATTTATTATGAAACAGGACTTATTCAATAGGATACAATTTTTTTTATTCATTCGTATGCATGAGGCTAGCATTTATTACCCAGCCCTGTTTGCTGCTTGAACTGACTGACTTGCTAGGGCCATTTTAGAGAGCAGTTAAGAGTCAACCACATTGTTGTGGGTCTGGAGTCAGATGTAAACCAGACCAGGTGTGAGCAACAGGTTTCCTTCCCTTAAAGGACACTAGTGAAGCAGATGTGTTTTTATGCCATTAATCAAACTTTTCTTTCCAGCTACTCATTGTTTGAGGTGCTAGAAGACTAGAGGGCAGCTAATGCGGTGCCATTATTTAAGAATGGTGGTAAGAAAAGGCCAGGGAACTATAGACCGGTGAGCCTGACATCAGTGGTGGGCACAAAAACAGAAGTTGCTGGAAAAGCTCAGCAGGTCTAGCCGCATCTGTGAAAAAATCAGAGTTATAGTTTCGGGTTGGAGGAAGTTCTGAGGAAAGGTCACCAGACCCAAAACGTTAACTCTGATGTTTTTTTTTCACAGATGCGGCCAGACCTGCTGAGCTTTTCCAGCAACTTCTGTTTTTGTTCCTGATTTACAGTATCCGCAGTTCTTTCAGTTTTTATCAGTGGTGGGCAAGTTGTTGGAGGAAATCCTGAGGGTCAGCATTTACTTGGAAAGGCAAGGACTGATTAGGGATAGTCAACATGGCTTTGTGCATGGGAAATCGTGTCTCACTAACTTGATTGCGTTTTTTGAAGAGGTGGCAAAGAAGATTGATGAAGACAGCGTGGTAGATCTGGTCTATATGGACTTCAGCAAGGCATTAGACAAGGTTCTGCAGTGTAGACTAGTTAGCAAGGTTAGATGATATGCAATCCGGGGGAGTTAGCCAATTGATGCAAAATTGGCTTTGAAGTAGATGGTAGAGGGCTGATTTTCAGACTGGAGACCTGTGACTTGCAGTGTGCTGCAAGCATCAGTGCTGGGTCCACTGCTTTTTGTCACTTTTGTCATTTATATAAATGATTTGGATGTGAATATAGGAGGTGTGGTTAGTACGTTTACAGATGACACCAAAATTGGTGATGTACTAGGCAGGTGAAGCAGCTTATTTCAGATTACAATGGGACTTTGGCCAAGGAGTGGCAGATGGAGTTTAATTGAGATACATGTGAGGTTTGTATTTTGGTAAGGCAAACGAGTTCAGGACTTACACAGTTAATGTTAGAGCCCTGGGGAGTGTTGCCAAACAAGGATACCTACGGGTGCAGGTGCATAATTTCTTGAAAGTGGAGTCGCAGATAGACAGGGTGGTGAAGAAGTCATTTGGCATGCTTGCCTTCATTGATCAGCGCATAGAGCGTAGGAGTTGGGACATGTTGCGGCTGTACAGGACATTGGTGAGGCCATTTTTTGGAGTACTGTGTTCAATTTCGGTCTCCCTGTTACAGGAAAAATATTGTTAAACTTGAAAAAATTTACAAAGATGTTACTGGGATTGGAAGGTTTGAGCTTTAGGGCGAGTCTGAATAGGGTAGTGCTTTTTTCCCTGGTGTGTTGGAGGCTGAGGGGTGACCTTCCAGAAGTTTATAAAATCATGAGGGTCAAGGAACGGGTGAATAACTAAGGTCTTTTTTTCAGGCTAGGGGAGTCCAAAGCTGGAGGGGATAGGTTTGAGGTGAGAGGGGAAAGATTTAAAAGGGACCTGAAGGGTAATCTTTCCACGCAGAAAGTGATGGGTATACGGAACGAGCTGCTGCAGGAGGTAGTAGAGACTGGTACAGTTATAACATTTAAAAGGCATCTAGATGGGTACAAGAATGGGAAGAGATTAGAGGGATATGGGCCAAATGCTGGCACATGGGACTAGATCAGTTTAGCATATCAGGTCGGCACAGACAAGTTGGACCAAATAATCTGTTTCTGCGCTATATAACTATGACTCTATGAAATTTCTTTATCTGCCTGGTGAGATTTGATCCTTTGTTCCCAAAGCATTAACCTGGGATTCTGGATGACTTGTGCAATGACATTATCACTGCAGGTATACATAACCTCCTAATTAACCTGACACACACAAATACACACTCACCTACAACCAGTAAAAGAAAAATTAAAGAAACTTTCTCTGCAGAAGTCAACTTTACAAAATATTGTTGGCCAAATAATTGTTCATTCAAGGGGAAAAAAGGATAAAATATGAAATGCTCCGGGTGGCTATTGGCCTGGCATCCAGGTATGGTATACTAGACACGTGCAGTTATCATCAAGGTCTTGTCAAAACGAGTTCATTCAAGAGTTGTAGAGAAGTCTTCCAGAAGCTTCTCAGGAGATTTGCTGTATAAGTTTTTTTCCAGCTCCCGCATTGGTTTCAATCGGGTTTACTCAGTAATGTAACAAAGGAATGAGTAAAGTAGAAATACTGCAGCATATAACTCATCTCCCAACTCTCCAAAGCCTGATCACCATCTACAAAGCAGAAGCCAGGAGTGTGATAGAATACCCCCCATTTGCCTGATGGTGCAGCTCCAACAACACTCAAGCAGCTTAACAGCATCTAGGACATAGCAGCCCACTTGATAGACACTACATCTACAACATCCACTCCTTCTACCGAACTTAAAACAAAACACACTTTATTCAACCACTATATTTAAAATACAACAAAATAAAGAAGGAAGTGGAATAACTTAACTCTATTGAAAAACTTAACAGAATAATAGATTCAGTAACTATCACTAATTAACTGTTCTAATATAGTAACAACCCATAAACACACCCATGGCAAAAGACAAATTCAGAAAACAGATTGTCCCACATATAACCACCATTGCAGGTAGACAACCCCCAGCTTTTGGCTATAACCAAGAGAAGAAAAATAGCTTCCACTTCATCAAGGCCCCAACAGCAACTGCTGAAATCTAAAGATCCTGGTTCTGTGGGAGTTTGGCCACACCCATTCAGGCCATTTTATTTTCCAACCTCATTGTTCCAACTTTAAAACAAACAAAGGCCCCACAAGCTGTTTACTCTCGTGGGTCTGATAGACTGCTTGGTCACCTCTGCCTTAAACCCTCTCTTCAAAATAAACCAGGACAAAATAACCTCCTAAAGCCACAGCATTGTCACAATGTGTGACACAAATGACTTTCTGATAGGTTTCCTTACTTTAGTGCAGAGGTACATTGGTTTTCTTTTACTCTTCTCTCTTGATGGAAACATATCTTTGATTAGTACTTCAAGTTTTTTTAAAGGAAGCATGTATTTCTGATCGAAACCAGCTTCAAAATTGTCTTCCTCAATCACTTTCTTCAAGACAGACTGTCATTTCATTGATTTGATCAGCAATAAATAATTAGAAGTAGGTTTATTGTCATCTGTACTCACGTTACAAAAGTGTACAGCTCCATCTTAGGTACAATGCACCTAGATACAAATCTTAGGTACAAAAATAGAGAAAATAAAAAAAATAAAGTTACACTATGTTGCAGATATACATAGTATTAGTTAGGAAAATAAGAAATGAAGCTAAAAAGATAGACATTACAGTCTCTCTATTAGGGCTTCCATGTGGTCTCACTGGGCTCCACCAGTTCCTAACCAGTAGCCATCTTCGCTCCAGGTCTGCTGGCCATTGTCCCCGATCTGCTCCAAGCTGCTCGCCACCCTGCTCCACTCCGTGCTTGCTGGATGACAACATCCAGCTCCTGGCCGCTGGCCACACTCCAGGCTGCTGACCGCTGTCCCCATGCTCTGGGCCACTGGCCGCAGACCCCACTCCGATCTGGGCCTCTGGCAAAACAGGAAAATGACAGAAGAGAAAAAGAAACATGGGGGGGGAGGAGAAAAGAGGGAAAAAAAGAGAGGAACGGATGGAGCAGATGAGCTCTGGTTGAAGTGTTCTTTTCTGCCACCGTCTTGTACTTAGATTAAACTTGCACCAAGGTTATTTTGCTCCCTTTACTTCGCATCTTTCAGTTTAGTTAAGAGATGTACCACAATCTTCATATTCTCACTGCTGACTGTTTGTAAATGGAGGCTTCATCTTCTTTTCATTCACATCTCTAAATATTTTGACATTTAAATCCTCAGTCAAGTGTTCTACTGCTTGTGACCAATGCTGTCACCAGTTCTTGTCTCTTACTACCTAACACATGTTTTGTATGTGAAAGATTGTTCTCTATTCTAATCTTATTCCTTCATTTGCTCTTTAATGTAGAAAGTTCCTCACACTTTGCTTGGTCCTGAACTGCTCATTTTGTCACTGATCAAAGGCAATTTTAAAATGTTCATATTAGGCTTTTCAAGTAGTTCCACCTGCCTCTGTACCCATGATAAGCTTCTTGAGTTTGGTCACAGTACTTTTGGGAGTTTTGCAAGTCCAGTATGCCTGAGCAATTGTTGCAATCAACCTTAGATCTTGTGCTGACCAACTTATTACCAAATATCAAATCTATCCTTTCCACAGGCAAACTAATTCTCATAATAAAAGCTCAATTTACTAAGTCACTTTGTAAATTAACTCTAAGCAATAGACAGCTTCATAAATTCCATGTATACCCCCTATTAATACTTCGCTGTTCATCAAACCATCTGGAAAAAAAACATCATTAACAGCCATTATCAATGACTGAACTGCTGTCATGTCTTTCAAAATTTTAATTTGTTTACTTCTTATGATGGGCAATAAATTCTGACCGAGCTAGCAATAACTACATC